AATAAAGTTACAATTACATAATAATATTTCTACTTCAATTCGTTTTTTTTAATAGGCTATAAACATTTAAATGGTGGCTTAAATCATAAAACTTGATGGATTTATTCAAAGATAAATGAAACATTGAAGAACAGTACAATTTATAATGAATATGTTATATGGTGCATATATTTAGCAACATGCCCCTCTCTACAGTTTATTTTTCTAGCTGACTAATGAGTTCTTGGTCACCGAATATGTTTTTTTCTGTGGTAAATGTGACCACACATTTGTAAACGTGACATTGTTTACAAGACATTATATTGACGTCTTTGTGCGGCTGAAACACTATTTGAGCGATTACATGAGACAGGATACGGATTGTAAAGTTGTACTCTTTCTTTTAACTTACCTTCGGATGTTTAGTCGTGTTTATTTTGTGCTGAAGCTGGTATTAACGTGGAGGAGACGATCAGTTTACGTGCAGTACGCGCTGCTGCGTCTGGCACTCGCAACCACTTCTCTTGAACTGAGATCTGTCACTCCACATTAAACAGCGCCAAAACGGCATTTATTGTTTGAATACTGCAATACAATGGACAGAATTTGAAATCTGAGACTTTGTTTCATATTAAAAGTACCAAAGCACAATGCTTATTGCGATTTATTGGATGGAAAGTGCCCTTCAACGTTCAGTCCATTAACTGAAAACAGGCGAGACTACTCGATTCTTGGGATTTAAGAATCGATATCGTTCTGTAAAAATGAGAATCGATTGATATCGATATTTTTTACCCAGCCCTAATAATTATGACATTGAATACGCAGTTTCTTTTGCGTTTTAAAATGAAATGATACAGGCTACAGCGTGCACTGCCGCATTTGTGCATGCAATTGAAGCGCCTGAAAAGTCTCCCGTTTGCTGAGGTCGTAAAGACGTGCTGCGTCTAAATAAACGCAATTCTTGTCAAGAAAAAAGAGACAGAAGCAGCAGTTGTGAGTGAGGTGACCCTAGCTCTGACCCTTCATTCATTGCGTAAAATATTTTTAACGCGTTAAACTGAAAAAAATAATTAATCACATGCTTTAATGTGCTAATTTTGACAGCACTAATAAATATTTAACAGTTCCTTTAGTATTTTACAGTTTTCACTAGAACATTTATACATTTATTTATAAAAACAAAGCTAAAAAATTAATAATAAACATCTGATTCCTGTAAAAATTCTGATACTGTACACGAAACACCAGCAACATTTATAAATATATGACTTGTATATATGAATTGTTCTGTAAAGTAATTATGGGAGAGGCATCTAAAAACAATTTTTAATCTCACAATTTAGACTTTTTGTCTCAGTACCTGAGATAAAAAAAAGACTTAACATGAATTAATATTTGTAATCACCAGCACACATAGCTTTGCATACAGGCTCATATATTCACTCTGCAACATCACTGATTTTCTCATTATATGAGTATGTTGGCATATAAGTGGGTATATACTAGTATGTGTGCAGTGTATGAGTTCCCTGTTGTTAGAAAACATGTCAAGTTTTGTCTTTTGACAGGTGCTGTGATGTCCACACCAATAAATACGATTAATCTTGAGTTCCCAGAATGCATCATGACATGAATATTATGCAGATGACTGTTTATGGGTTTCTGCTAATACCTATGTGCTAGTATAGTTTTCTTGTTAATACTGTCAGGAAAACTTTGTTGCATTTGTCTTTTACCCAGAAGCCTAAATAACAAATCCAAACTGACATGATGGTGAGTAAATGATGAGTTTTTATTTTGGGTGCACTGTTCCTTTAATTAACACAGCACTAGATGTATTTGATATCACTTTTTGTCATTATTATATTCAAAATTTATAGCTACATGAATGAAAAGATTCAAAAGACGTTGGTGCTGAGCATCATAGTAATGCTATGCTATAGTGCACTTTCTAGCAGACATTTTAGATGAAAGATGTTACTTAACCTACCGGTGTCGTTGTTGAACTTTTTTTTATATTTTTGATGTAACTGACAAGAAATGGAGATACATATCTGACCAGGCATAGACAGCAAAGGAACTACAATGTTCAAGGCCCAGAAATGTAGCACGTATAGTTGTTAAAATTGTCCATGTGACATCTGGTTCAACCGTAATTTTATGAAGCTACAAGACAACTTCTTGTGCACAAAGAAAACCAAAATAACGACTTTATTCAACAATTTATTATCTTCTGAGTCAGTCCTCGATGCGCGTTTACCAGAGTACCACAACGCATGATTGTGCATTCCTCTGCTTGTAAACAAGACAAATGTTCTACGTCAGAATGCCGGCTCCTGCATCAGCAACATCACACTGTGAGAAGTGACGAATGCGGAAGCGCAGAGGAGAGAGCAAAACAAAACGCTGGTCACGAATTAGAAGAATTTTTCCACATTAATTTCACACTTGTCTAGTACAAAAATGTGGTTTTGTTTTTTATAATTACAGTGTATACTTTTTTCTTTATTACCCAAAACTGAATGTGATTTTGGCTGGTAACAACTAACCCCGCATTAGTTTCTGCCCCACGCATCCCTATGCTTTATTTCATACATTTGTAAGTCTTTCACCTCAGAAAAATTAACTCTTCTGTCAGACACCGTTGCAGTAAAAAGTGTCTGAGAAAAACGCATTGTCATGATTCAGTATCTGCTGACAAATGAGATATTGCCAGACTGTAAGTCATTATCATTATTCTAACGTTAATTTCCTAATGTTGCCTAATTAAAAATTAGTCTCTCACCTCAAATGTGGAGGAAATATATCTCACTTGATATATAAAGATCATACAGTCCATTTATGTTGACTTGGTAAAAAAAAAAAAAAACACTGTTACATTTCAGGTGTCATTTGAGGAG